TAATTGAAAAACATAAGTATCCAAATAAAAATTTAATTTCGTATAATTGAAATAAAGTTGAGTTTACATCATCCGCGCCCAGTTCTATTATTAATAAAAGTGACAGTTTTAGTTCCGAGTTTGAACTATTTCCTTTTGTTAATATTGCTTGCCTCGAGTTCCGAGCCCAGTTATTCAGCTATTCAATCTCAGTTATTAATTCCGACCCATTTATTTTTAGTAATGGATTTTATTCAGTCGGGATTAATTATTTCCAGTTGACGAATAATCGGAACCGAGTATGTTTCGATAAATCATCCAAGTCAAGCCGTGTCCAGAACCAAGTATGTTCGGTCACAACTCTCGCGCCTAGTTCACGTTTAGCCAAGTCTCGAGCCCTAGTAGTCCCGAGTCTTGATCAAGCCATAGTCGCTTGTAGCCTTACTTAGAATTTTTCTAAGTATGAGATTCTCATCATTGAGCCCTAGCATTGGCGTTTCCTCGGCCTAAGTATCCCGCACCTAGTTCGTGCTCGGGTCCGAGCCGCTCGCGCCAAGGTTTGCGAGCCAAAGCCCTAGTCATAGCCGAGTGATGATGGCATAATTTTGCTAAGTTATTTTGGCTCCTATGTCCAACCATTTTCATCCAAGAACCGAGCAAGCCTCTCGGTCCAAGTCCCTAAGTGCCGAGCCCAAGTGAACGCGCGCCTAAGCCCTCGCGCGAGTTCGTGCATGAGCCCAAGTCTTGGCCATGATTTCCAAGGATTTTTCTAAGTATAGTGGCACATAAGTTCAGCCTTAGAAGGATCATATGCTCAGCCCAAGAAGCAGCTCGCCAATCCACCAACCACGTGCCCAGCAGGCTGCGCCCGAGTCCACGCGCGAGCCCAAGTCCTTGGCCCAATGTGATGAATTTCGAGCCCAAGTCATGTGGCCCATGTCATGCAAATTTTCCAGAGGTTTTTTAGGGTCAAATACGGTCAATGTTGGTCCTAAGTGGATTCAAGACAAGGCAAAGGCATTAGCCTTGTGTTTAGTGAAGTGGAGCCTTAATTTAAAGTGAAAAGTGAGGTCTTCTCCCCTCCACTCACCTCCAACCCGACCAACCTTGTCCCCTCCACCTTTTGACCACCTTGGTCAGCCCAAATTCAGCAACCAAGACCCTCAATTCGTGCCCCAAGGTCAGCACCTAGAAGACATGCACCTAGAGTGGTGTAGTGTGCTATTTTGTCCCCACTTTGTCCCCCACCTTCAAGTCTTGTTCTCTCCACTCAAGACCAACGTTTTAAGACTCTCTCCTCAGCATTTTTCCAGCATTTTGGCACTTAAGATACTCAGCAATATTGAGAGGAGATAGAGGAAAACCAAGAGCTTGCAACCTAGACCACCACGCGCGCGCAATTCCAAACCCAAGGGAGGAGCGAGCCACACCTAGCACCCGCCGTGTTCTCTCAAGGCTTAGCATATTCCAAGTGTTATTTGGATTTTTCTAAGTCCTTAGAGTTCATCTTTTCAGCCTTTAGCCCCTCAAAGTCGAGCCAAGTTCTAAGGCCCCGAGTAGAGCACGAGCAAAGAACACCTAGCACCATTTCGAGTTTGGTGAAAGGTAAACTCGTGTTTTCATTTTTCTCAGCTTTAACATGATAAAATAGGAATTATCATGCAGAAAAATGAGGTCATGCACATGCTTAAAGATGAGTTTCGAATTTTTGAAGTTTAGACCCTTAAATTTGGATTTTTATGTACAAGCATGATTAGGCCAATTCTAATAGCTCATTATCCCTCAAAAATCATGTATATGACATTGGTAAGAGATAGACATGTTCTGAGTTCAATGGTTCGGTCAAGTTGTTAGTGAAATCGAGCTTATTTTCACCTCCGAACCCAAGTATTGTACATGCGAGTTATAGCCAATGTGTTAGCCCCTAAAGTCATGATTTTTGATGTATAGTATTCGGCCTTAAGTGTTTTTATAAGTTGGGTATGTTTGTTCGGTGACCTAGAGTCCCTACGAGCCATATCGGCCCTACCGGACCAAGTCAAAATCCAACTGAGGTCTCATAGTGATTCTTGGCATTTTTATGTGTCTCATATCATTATATGTTGGGTTGAGTCCATTTTCACCGGAAAAAGTAGCCGGAGGTCCGGCAAGGACCGGCCACGGTCGCTAGCCGTGCACATAGCGCGCGCAGCGCTGGGCCGTGTTGCAGAGGCCAGACAGCGCCTCTGTCCGTGCCCGCACCCAGCAGGCGCGAGGCCCTGCAGCCCCCAATGCACGCGACAGCGGCCAGCAACGCCTGTCCGTTCACGCGAGCGAGGTCGCGACGCCAGTCGTGCCTAACAACCTCCTACCGCGCCAAGCAGCGTGGTCTCAGCGGCAGTACACACGTGGTCTCGAGCCAGTTGCTCGTGCCGCGCGGAGTGGACCTCGGGTCGTGCCAGCCGCATGCCCGAGCATGCAGCAGCGTGCTTAGTAGGCCCGAGACATTCCCAGCAGCACGCCCGCGTGCCCAGGGTCGCCGGAAGCGCCCTATCAGCCCCAATTGCGCCAGAGTCCGCGCGAGTCATGCCTAGCCGTGTCTATCCGCACCTAGCCGTGCCAAACCCTAGTCCAGCCGTGCCTAGAAGCACGCCAACGCCTTAGTTGGCCTCGGTAGTGCCCAGTCGCACCCGAGTGGCACCAACAGTGCCCGTGCTCGTGCCAACTGCACCTGGCCGCACCCAGCAGCACCGAACCGTGCCCAACAGCACCTAATGGCACCAGTCGTGCCAGGGCACGTGCCAGCCGCACCTGCCAGCGCCTAGGACCGCACAGGTCGCACCTTAGTCGTGCCCAGCGCCGTGCCAAAGGCCCAGCAGGCCCGGCGCGGGACCAATGCCGGTCAGTCCGAGTGAGCACCCGACCGCTCGGCCAGCAGCAAGCCGGCGGTCCGACCAGTCAGCGAACCAGCCGGTTCGACCGGCGGTTCGAGTCAATTTTGGTTCGTGTATTTCAATCTGAGTTTTATTCCAAAATTTAAGTATTTTTCTGAGCCAAAACCAGATCAGTTAAGCATATCAGTCTAATTTCTGGACTTAGAATTATTTTAGCGAACCCATAGACCGTTCTTTTATATCCGGATAAGCAATCTGATAGAGTAGAGTATCTTAACATATTATTGAGCATATGACGAGCATAGTACTTAGTATATTTTGTTTGCTTATATTTTTATGTAACTTGAGGAGTCAGCTACCAGCACATTAGCACTTACGAATTTTCAAAGCAAACCAGGTGGGGACCCAGTCTGGGTTATACATTGAGTATAATAGTCGATATCATGTTCAGGTTTGTATATGAGTTTTATCCGCTTAGGGTTGAGGCCGAGTTGCCCTCTCCTAAGTTCTGGTGGTGGCCCAGTTCGCCTTAAATATACCATAAGAGTGTGCACACGGTACCGACCAGAGTGTCCGGGAAGTTACAGTTACTGGCCAGAGTGTCCGGGAGATTTCAATTTACTTATATATACTTGTACTGTGATATCATTATTATTATTGTTGTTTACTTTAGCCTGGGTTTTTATGGAGTACAAGAGGACCAGTACTCACCCCCACTTTGTTTTTCAGATGATAGGGTCGACGGGCAGGCGTGAGTCCAACTGTGGTGGTTGTGGTCGTGGATTTGGCACAACTAGCCGATTCGTGGACATTTGTTTACCTACGTCTGTATAACTATTATGCCACGCATTTTATGACTTCCGCTACGTTTACTTTCAGTTCGAACTTGCATGATAGTATTTTCTAAACTTAACATTTTACCCAATTTGCCAGTACGAACCGGTCCAGCTTCACTTGCAGGTTTCGATAAAAGATTTAAAAATCTATTCTTCCTAAAGTCTAAACCAGTCATTAGACCCAGTTAAAAGAAAATGGATTTTTAAAGCAGGTAAGTTTTAGCAGCATCCCGAAATAGTTTGCAAATGATTTCGAAAAATTTATAAGCGTTTTCGAAAAAGAAATTGCGAAAAATTGGCCCTAAAATAGCGGGTTGTTGCAGCACACACAACACCTCACTCTTAGTCCCAATTTCACAAACAAAGCAACAATGGTCAAAGTGATTTAAGCAGTGGTTGATGGTGGAATTCATTAGATCTGTTTCGACCTAGCGGCACGGCTGCATCCTGCGCTATATCATCGCCGAGAAGCCTCGATGAATTAGCGACGGTGGGTGAGTGAACTCTGCAAAGTGTCATTCTCGAATTTTTCTTCGCCATTCTCGAAAGTGTTATGTAGCCTTGCACAAGGAATGATTTTATTTTTGGGTAACTAAGATAGAGTAATGCTATTTAGCCTACTTGGATGACAACTTAGGTTACAACTCTAAGTGAAAATGTATTATCAAAAAGTTAAAAATATTGCATTTACACTTGAGTTATAACCCAAGTTGTCATTAAAATTGTTGTATAACATTACTCATTAAGATATGCATGTTATCTCATAAAATCTTTGCAAATTCTATTACATGCAACTGTCCGTTAAATTAGTAATTTGGCAAATCCCGTTATTAATGCACTTTAGGTTTTAATTTTAATTGAAAAACATAAGTATCCAAATAGAAATTTAATTTCGTATAAGTGAAATAAAGTTAAGTTTACATCGTCCGCGCCCAGTTCCATTATTAATAAAAGTGACAACTTTAGTTCCGAATTTAAACTATTTCCTTTTGTTAATATTGCTTGCCTCGAGTTCCGAGTTTGAACTATTTCATATATTAATTTTCAGAGAATGGTTGATTTATGATTAATTTTTATCATTAGTTTCTAAATAACATTGGTTTTTAGGTTAAAACTCATTTATGAAGGATTTATGTATATCTTAATTTTTGCTATCATATTTTTATAAAAGTTTTCAAAAATTGGTTCCTACACTCTTCTGTTGTGCTTCTCTTGTCAGGTTAACTGTCACCGTTCACGTAATAGAAAGCGCAAAAAACACCGTATCACCACCAAAACATAGCGCGTCCCCACCACGCCCAACGAATATCCTCAACAAACTCAAACTAATAATTATTGGTCCAAAAGTGTGAACAAACATGAATCACCTGGAAAAAACTTCATAACATACTCACCTGCTGGCCAATCAACAAACATCGAATTTGTGTGTGTGTCTGTTTGTGTGAGAAAGAGAGAGATAACATCTTTTGGTTTGCTACTAAACCAAATATTGATGATCATTTATATTAACAAAATATAAGGGATGTTGACTAAATTAGTGACAATTATGTACCCTGCACAATGCGCGAGTCAAATTCTCAACGTCGCAAGCTACCCCTCTAAGCATTTTTTTGTTTTTCCCCTCGAATTTAAGCCTAAATCGTTACTTCGATTAAATAGAACAGTTTTACCAAGACAAAAATCTCCCTACAAAACCGGTACGCTTCCTTTTCCCTGTTGAAGAGTACCTAGAGAGTTTCCTGCAAAATAACATATAATCCAATCCCAAAAAAGTTAAAAAAATAGGCCTGACTCAATATCACGTATGCTCCATCCATTTCATTTTATCTGCCATTTAAAGTTACTGCATTGCAGAGCAAGAATATCTTTTGTCGATATAGTTATTGACAATGAAGGGCTATTTTACATCTTCATTAAGTTTAAATACAAAGACATTAACTAACTTTGAAATCGAGACCTGTGGTAAATATTCATATATTTAACAAGTTTTACATTCTCCACAACAGACTGATTGAAAACACAAATTGGAAACTAATGATGAGTGCCATGAAGGAGAAATATGATTTCCAGTCCAAATTTTAAAATTTATTAACTTACGTGAGTTTACGGAAAATATCAATTTCGAATTATCAAAAAGTTTTCGCAATTAGTAAGACCTGAAAAAGAAGTAAAAACTAAAAAACAATAAAAAAAACTCGAGGAAAACTGACTCACCTGCTTTGCCAGCAAAAGAATAAGAGTTGGATGAGTAATGAGAGCCCATAGCATTATTCATGGGGAGCTGATAAGCTGTGTTCATGGATGAAACAGATATGGACTTTGCTGCAAGAATTTGATCAGGTTTTTGAGCCACATGCGAATAAATGTCGTCCCTTGGTGCCTACAAAGTTTATAAATTTTAAGAGTACCCATATTTAGCACAACAAATAAAATACTTGCACAAAACTTCTATAAGCCATACATATCTGCCTCCTGATAGCAGATGGGGAGTGCTCGCAAACACTATAAGTCAAGAAATGTAATCGTTGCCTAAAAGCACTAGAAAGAATGTATTAAAGTTTAAAATGCCAAGTTTTGCTTCTAATTATGCTTATTTTATCAAAACAGCCAACTGTCTTCTCTTTTTTTCTTTTTTCATCTCTTTTCGTTTTCCCCCTTACGATTGTACTTCAGATAATATAATACATTAATAATTACTTTTAATCTTACTCGCCAACTTCAATCTGTAGTTAGTGACTGGAGTGGAGTTATACAGTAAGATGTACAGGGTTTGAAATTTTGCATCAAACTAAACCCACCAAAAGACTCGTGGAACTAGTTCACCAATAATTATTTTAACTTCAAATTAACTTCTTGATTCTATTTACATAAGATACCAATTTCTCACTTTTTTCCCAATTATAAATTACTTTCCATAGAATTGCATGTTTCTGTGAACACTCCGTTTAAGAGACATATATCTTAGCTGGGACGAAGAGTGGATTTCAAATTACTTTTAAGTTTTGAAGAGCCATTTGAACTCCCTCAAAATAATGATTGAACTCCATTGGACTTTTAGGATGAATTTGAAATTCAATTTCATTTGTCATCCAAACATGTGCGGAGATCTGGACTTGGGAATTTGGAATCCATAGACCAAAATGCCTCAATGTAAGTACACTCTTAACTTAATGACTGACAGGCACTAACCTGCTCGTTGGTGACTTGTTCATCATAAAAATTGCTTGGAGCTGAAGTTTGTGTAGAGCCTGCATTTGCTTGTTGTGACACTTCAACATTTGAAACCTCCTTGCTCGGCTCCCCAAAGAACATGTGAGAAATGGCTCTTCTAAGATGATGATTTCTTTGAGAATAATACATTTTGGTGGCAAGGGGAGCTGGAACATCTGATATTGTCACGTTGACAAATTATTACCATATAGATAATTACTTCAAACAATTATCTGAACGAGAAATGTCTCAACTGTTAACCGAACACTGTGAACCCCATTTCAGATCCAAGGACAAGTAAGACTCGCTTTTGACAGACTGTGCTTCAAAACTAAACCTTAGAACTAACAATAAACATTAAAAATAAATAAAATAAAAAACCAACCCAGAGGCTACCTGAATAAGCAGCCTAGTTATAATTGGTTTCAGTTAACTTATTAGTACTAATGAAGCTCCATGTTCCCACTTCTCACAAGTACAATTACACATTTTTTCACCACCTCGCTTAATCCAATATAAG